ACTATGGTCTGATAGTGAACAGTACTATGGTCTGATAGTGTAACAGTACTATGGTCTGATAGTGAACACTATGGTCTGATAGTGAACAGTACTATGGTCTGATAGTGAACAGTACTATGGTCTGATAGTGAACACTACTATGGTCTGATAGTGTAACAGTACTATGGTCTGATAGTGAACACTATGGTCTGATAGTGAACAGTACTATGGTCTGATAGTGAACAGTACTATGGTCTGATAGTGAACACTACTATGGTCTGATAGTGAACACTATGGTCTGATAGTGAACAGTACTATGGTCTGATAGTGAACAGTACTATGGTCTGATAGTGAACACTATGGTCTGATAGTGAACAGTACTATGGTCTGATAGTGAACAGTACTATGGTCTGATAGTGAACAGTACTATGGTCTGATAGTGTAACACTACTATGGTCTGATAGTGAACACTATGGTCTGATAGTGAACAGTACTATGGTCTGATAGTGAACAGTACTATGGTCTGATAGTGAACACTATGGTCTGATAGTGAACAGTACTATGGTCTGATAGTGAACAGTACTATGGTCTGATAGTGAACAGTACTATGGTCTGATAGTGTAACAGTACTATGGTCTGATAGTGAACAGTACTATGGTCTGATAGTGAACAGTACTATGGTCTGATAGTGAACAGTACTATGGTCTGATAGTGAACAGTACTATGGTCTGATAGTGAACAGTACTATGGTCTGATAGTGAACAGTACTATGGTCTGATAGTGTAACACTACTATGGTCTGATAGTGTAACAGTACTATGGTCTGATAGTGTAACAGTACTATGGTCTGATAGTGAACAGTACTATGGTCTGATAGTGAACACTATGGTCTGATAGTGAACAGTACTATGGTCTGATAGTGAACAGTACTATGGTCTGATAGTGTAACAGTACTATGGTCTGATAGTGAACAGTACTATGGTCTGATAGTGAACACTATGGTCTGATAGTGAACAGTACTATGGTCTGATAGTGAACAGTACTATGGTCTGATAGTGAACAGTACTATGGTCTGATAGTGAACAGTACTATGGTCTGATAGTGTAACAGTACTCTGGTCTGATAGTGTAACAGTACTATGGTCTGATAGTGTAACAGTACTATGGTCTGATAGTGAACACTATGGTCTGATAGTGAACAGTACTATGGTCTGATAGTGAACAGTACTATGGTCTGATAGTGTAACAGTACTATGGTCTGATAGTGAACAGTACTATGGTCTGATAGTGTAACAGTACTATGGTCTGATAGTGAACAGTACTATGGTCTGATAGTGTAACAGTACTATGGTCTGATAGTGTAACAGTACTATGGTCTGATAGTGAACACTATGGTCTGATAGTGAACAGTACTATGGTCTGATAGTGAACAGTACTATGGTCTGATAGTGTAACAGTACTCTGGTCTGATAGTGTAACAGTACTATGGTCTGATAGTGAACAGTACTATGGTCTGATAGTGAACAGTACTATGGTCTGATAGTGAACTCCATGTTCTGATAGTGTAACAGTACTATGGTCTGATAGTGTAACAGTATTATGGTCTGATAGTGAACAGTACTATGGTCTGATAGTGAACAGTACTATGGTCTGATAGTGTAACAGTACTATGGTCTGATAGTGAACACCATGGTCTGATAGTGAACAGTACTATGGTCTGATAGTGAACAGTACTATGGTCTGATAGTGAACAGTACTATGGTCTGATAGTGAACACCATGGTCTGATAGTGAACAGTACTATGAACAGTACTATGGTCTGATAGTGAACAGTACTATGGTCTGATAGGTAACAGTACTATGGTCTGATAGTGAACAGTACTATGGTCTGATAGTGAACACCATGGTCTGATAGTGAACAGTACTATGAACAGTACTATGGTCTGATAGTGAACAGTACTATGGTCTGATAGTGAACAGTACTATGGTCTGATAGTGAACACCATGGTCTGATAGTGAACAGTACTATGAACAGTACTATGGTCTGATAGTGAACACCATGGTCTGATAATGAACAGTACTATGAACAGTACTATGGTCTGATAGTGTAACAGTACTCTGGTCTGATAGTGTAACAGTACTATGGTCTGATAGTGAACAGTACTATGGTCTGATAGTGAACACTATGGTCTGATAGTGAACAGTACTATGGTCTGATAGTGAACAGTACTATGGTCTGATAGTGTAACAGTACTCTGGTCTGATAGTGTAACAGTACTATGGTCTGATAGTGTAACAGTACTATGGTCTGATAGTGAACACTATGGTCTGATAGTGAACAGTACTATGGTCTGATAGTGAACAGTACTATGGTCTGATAGTGTAACAGTACTATGGTCTGATAGTGAACAGTACTATGGTCTGATAGTGTAACAGTACTATGGTCTGATAGTGAACAGTACTATGGTCTGATAGTGTAACAGTACTATGGTCTGATAGTGTAACAGTACTATGGTCTGATAGT